GGTGTGTTAATGCGTCCATCACCAGGGCGAATAAGAACGGACTGAGCGCAGAACCTTGGTGTAGCCCCATTATAACAGGAAAAATGCTCAGAGTCGCCTCCTACTGTCCTAACCCGAGTCTTAGCTCCATCATACATGTCCTTAATCGCCATACTGTAGGGAACCGATACACCTTTTGCCTCCAGGCATCTCCAGAGAATTTCTCTAGGAACCTTGTCATACGCTTTCTCTAGGTCAATAAACATCATGTGCAGATCCTTCTTCCTCTCTCTGTATAGTTTCACCAACCTTCTAACAAGGTGTATAGCTTCTGTAGTCGAACGACCCGGCATGAATCCAAACTGGTTATCGGATACAGACACCNCCCTCGCTTCAACCACCCTCTCCCACACTTTCATGGTATGACTCAGTAATTTGATACCCCTATAATTGTTACAACTCTGGATATCACCTTTGTTCTTATACAATGGAACTACCGTACTCCACCTCCACTCATCCGGCATCTTTTTCCCCTTAAAAATAATATTAAACAACCTAGTCAACCACTCCAAACCTGCTCTCTCTACACACTTCCAAAATTCCACCGGAATCTCATCTGGCCCGGTCGCTCTGCCCCTACTCATCTTACGCATAGCTCCCACGACCTCCTCAACCTCGATACGCCTGCAGTACCCAAAGTCACGGTGACTCTCGGAATGCTCCAATTCGCCTAGCACAATATCCCGATCCCCTTCTTCATTCAGAAGTTTACGAAAGTAAGTCTGCCATCTCCTCTTAATCTGGGCATCTTTCATCAATACTCTACCATCTTCGTCCTTGATGCATCTCACTTGGTACAAATCCCGAGCCTTCCCCTCTCTCAACTTGGCCAGCCGAAATAACTTCTTTTCCCCACCTTTTTCCCCCAATTTCTCGTACATACGACCATAAGCTGCAGTCTTAGCCTCTGTGACCGCCAGCTTAGCCTCCTTCCTAGCTGCCTTATACCTATCCATGCACACTCGCCTCTCCTCCTCACCTATGCTCCCCACTAACTTCAGGTACGCCGCCTTCTTTGCTTCCACTTTACTTTGGACCACTTCATTCCACCACCTATACGATTTTTTATAGCATACTTAAATGGAAATATCTTTTCCTATTCTTTCATTGGAGGCCGAATCATTCCATAGCTGATCTTTTTCCTTTTCGTATATGGACTCTTTTATACAAATGTAACCCTAGTAAAATTATACTACTTTTTATGTACAAAATCTAATATTTTGTCTTTCTTTATGTAAAGTACTTGCTTCGCTCATTTTTACTTGGCACGTTTTGACTTTTCACGACCCTTAAGAAACAATGATTGACATGATAATTTTACCACAATAACCCTATTAATTGATGCTCAATAATTGAATTTAGTGGATTTTTGTGTTTAACAAAGGGTGATAATGAAGAGTTCTCTGTGAATTTCAATATTGAGCATTGGAAAACTACAATTGACCATTATTTATTCAAGAAATGTTAGTTAATGAATTAAAGGTAAAACATGAAAAAAAAAAATTTTCTCTTGATATGTGTAAAGTGACAAGTAAAAATAAAAAGCTATTTTTAGTATACCTGTCAAATAAAAGTGAATGGAGGGAGTATATTATGCCATTTATATATTTATTTATTGATCATTTTATTTTTGCATATCTTGAAAAAGAATATGCATATATTTCGTGAAAAAATTTAGAGTATGTATATATATATATATCAAAACCATGTATTTATAAGAAAAACCCATGTGTGTGTATATATATATATGTGATATTTTTTTTAATTTATATACACATATTATACGAAATTTATATTAATAATATACAAGGATTATCAAACCACTACCAACTATATTATACATAATATTATATGTATAATTTGGGACTATACATGTATATCCGTATGTTATTCCTTTAATAGCAAAATAGAAAAGAAAAATTGTGCGGAAAAGTGCAACGATGTTCTTTCTCGAAGAACAGGAGACATTGAAGAAGAACACAAGACTAGAATACCATTTATGTTTTGGTTGAGTAGAAATATGAAAAATGCTTCTGATGTTCTAGTGACTCACTGGACTTCGAAAAATAAAGGAAAGATTGAGAGAGATACAAAATGTGTGAGGATAAGGACACAATGCATCAGAAAATAGGTAATAATTAATTAGATTCCACATTTAGTTAAAGTTGTAAATTAGTTAAAAATAATAATGATCAAAACTATCCCTTAATTTGCGGGTCGGTTAAAATTTTAAACCACCACATAATTTATCAAAACTGCTAGAAAGGTAAAAGAATCTGTTATTTTTATAAAAAACAAAAGAGGCTATTATTTACGACAATAATTTTTAAGAAGAGATCAACCATGTAAAAATCTCAAAGTTGTTTATAGCGTGACAGTTAGGTTAATTTTCCCTTTTTTTCTTATATTGGGCCAATTAATGCCCTAAAGTTTGTCTTTTAAAAGTCCAGTAATTTGGATGTTGTGTGTTGGACATAGGCTAAGCCACTAATGGGCTTCTCATGCATTTAGGCCCACCCTCGTTCCCCCTAATGTAAAATTGCTCCAATTGTCACTTTAATAAATGCCTCATTTTATTTTTTGTAGAAATGACACCAGTAACCACTTTAAAGGTATGTTATTTAGAATTAGTCATTGCGTCCTTGATTTCAATTTTTCAAGACAAAAATATCATGAGTTGTCCTGAAGTTAAAAATTTTAGTTTAAAACTTCATGACAAAAATAAGAATAGACTAATCTTTAAATAGCATCCCTGAGAATTGGCTATTTGTGCACTTGCGGCCCCTTTTATTTTTTATTTTTATGGTAATTGATGGACTTGTCAAATCACGGTAAAGATCTTTGTTAAGCAAAATAACAATTTTATGAAAAGCGTAAGAGTACGATCTATTTTGTAATAATTGGTTTTGACAACTGTTGTGTTGGATTACAAACTTGTTAGAAGAATATTACTAGAGCTTTAAAATAAACAATATAATACGATAATATAAACTACAAAATTTCTCAACTTAAATATATTTAACTGCTTTCATATGTTAGCCCCTAAATCCAAGGTTAGTGTGTTTGGGGAAATAGGGGGAATCTGATTCTGAAATCAAAAACCAAAGCTAAATTGTGTCATTTGGCTAATTCCCAGCATCTAAACCAATCCGATAACCCACTATATATGTTGAAATATTGAAACTAAACACCACCCTATTTTGGTTTTGAGTTTGGTCTTGGAAAAATTTGTAAAAATACACATGGGCTAAATCCATATCTTGATTAATTAAAGCATACAATTGGAAAAAGATGTTTGAAAGGATAATGAGTGGGAAATTTATTCTATGATTTCAACTCCTTTCATTAAGCACAGTATTATCCTTTTTCCTTCCTCTAGAGTCTAGCCAATATATTCTTAATCAAATTTTAATAAATAAGATAGTAAAACGTTTAACTTTATAAAAGCGTAATTGTCATACTTATGAGCAAGGAATTAAACCGGATTTTTTTTTAGAAATAGCCTAATTTATAACGTATAATTGAAAAATAATCACATTTTCAAAAGTAATCAAATTTTAGCCACCTTTTTATATAAAGATAAAAAATAAACAAAAATTTAAAATTCCGGAAAATTCGGCATAATACGTTGGATTTCGAATTTTTTACATATGAGATTCCAGTATAATTTCAAAATATGTTGGAGTTCCAATATAATATGTTAGAAGTGTACACGCAATAGCTCTGTAATCCAGCATATTATGCTGAAACGTTTTGTTTAAGTTAAACTAATAATTATTTTTTAATAACTTTTAAAACGATAACTATTTTTCGATTACCCGCCCAATACAGACTAACTTATGCTATTTTCTAGAAACTCACCCAGTGGGTCCCACTATTCCAGCATGCCGCCCTGACACACATATATGATATATACTTGTTTTTCTCTCTCTCGTCACTAATGAGAGGCACGTGCATTCCTCCTTGCATCACAGCACAATTGCATCCCTTTTTGATCAGGTCACGTGCGCACCTCCTCCTCAGTTCTGCGATTTTTCTCTTTCGCAAATTTCTCCATTGTTTAACCCTTTTCCCTCTTGGCTGTATTTCTCTTCTTCAACGTCCTCCCTCTCTCTACCCAGTATCAAATCCAATTTCAGAGAGAGAGAGAGAGGAACAAAGGGTTGGGGAAAAACAATAATTTTGAAGAATGTTGTTGTAAATCTCGAAAACCCTTTTGAGATAAAGGATTGGGAAATTCGTGAAAATTATAGAATGCAATGTAATTGAGCGTTATTGTATTGTCGATATGCACGCTTACAATAGGTTACCGAGCAGTGGACACAACAGCCCATCCACGCCCTCATCCCCCCGCTCCCGCTCGCCTCGTTTACGCAGCACTAGTAATAGTAATAGTGGTGGTGGATCCCGGGTCAAACCCAGTGCCCGTTTTACCCCGGGTCAACCCGGACCGAGAACCCTCGCCCATCGTCTTGCTTGGGTCATTCTATCGGTTCTGCTTCGCCGTCAGGGGATTTTCCTCTTTGCTCCTTTGCTCTACATAGCGGGGATGTTGTTTTACATGGGGACAGTATCGTTTGATGTTGTTCCTAACATCAGGCACCACCCTGCTCCCGGGTCCCTTTACCGGAGCCCCCAGCTTTATGCCAAGCTTCGACCCGAAATGGACTCCGATAATTCCACTGCTCATGCGGTTAGACTCTTAATTTTTTTAATAATAAAAATTCTATCTTGTTGTGATGATTTTTGGACTTTTATGAGATGCAGTCATGATGGCTTCAGTTTCTGTTGATAGTTGAAAATCTAGAAAAACAAAAGCTTTATCTTTTCCTGACCTGACTTGTGGGTTTTTGGGGATTACTGAGTTAGTTCCGGTGCAAATTTATTCAATTAGGATTGCTCCTGTTTAGTCTAGATCTGTAATACTGAGTGTATTTGGCTCTCCTCTGTTGTGGATCAATGCCATTGATCATAGTTGTTTTACTGTTACCCTATAGATTTTCTCTTCTTTTATCACCTCATCCTTGCTTCTTCATCATCTGTTAATTCAGAGCAGTACATCTGTCAATAAGTGTGTTACTCTGTAACTTGATGTTATTTTGTGATTCCTGGTATTTTAATTCAAATTCTCACAAAGATGGTGAAGCTTGTCCATTATTTCATGATGTTAATGTTGGTAATGAAGCTCATTGTGAAATGTACTTGCAGCGAAAACAATTTTGTAAATATTGTTTTTGCTTTTATGTTCTACAATCCTACTAACTAGAGGTGCAAATTTCCTGTAGATATCAACAATATGGAAAAACTCCTACAGAGGTGGAGAATGGAGACCGTGCATTAACAAATCCTCAGGAGGTAGAAAATTTGGAGAATCAAACTTATCTTTTATCCTCGTTAGTACACTATGTTGCTTCTCTCCCTCTCTCTTAATTATTCTTCATATAGTAAGTGCAACTCTCTGGTTGCATTCGGCCATTCAGGTTATATTGGAGGTTTCCCAATGCATAATCTTATCGTAATTTGAAATTCAAGATAACTACTGCAGTTATATGCTAGAAATTTTCAGGTTGACCACACTCTATATGTTTAGGTTTATAGTACAAAGTATTCTTCTCTAATTAGTCGAAACTAGGAACCTCTGTATTTAGATAAGTTTTCTTATTCAAATAACTTTTCTTATTTCTTGTAATCTAAAATTTTCTTATTTCTAAGTCAGAATAGCCTAGTAGACACCTGTACTTATTCCGTTTTGACATCCTGACCCCTTTACTCCACGGAATTTCATTTAGACACTTGAACTTATTCAATTGGGTGTTTTAAATCCCTCTTATGTTGCGTGCCTCTCAATCGCGCTGATATCAGAATCTACATCAGATAAAATATGCCACGCCATTTACTATCTTTACAAAAAACCAATAAAATAATCCTTTATTGATTTTGCCTTATTTTATACTTTTTCTCATCTTTCACACGTTAACCTATGGGTGGCATGTGGGCCGGGCCTGGTCCTAAGTGGGCCGGTCCTAGGCGGTCCTGGGCTTCGCGGGCTTCTTGTTGAAACCGGCCCGGGACCGGGACCACGAACTAACGGTCCCGGGTTAAGTGGGCCGGTCCTGGGCCTAAGTGCGCCCAACAGATACTTTCTATTTTTTAATTTTTTTTTATACAAGTTAGAGAAAAAAAATGGTAA